ATACATATTTGACCAAAATATAACAGAAACACTCGTGTCAATCAGAATTTTCATTCTGGAACTGGTCACACAGCCTTCAAAATGTTCCTCTGTTGCCCACTCTGTATTTCTTGCTTACTCAGAAAGCCCCTCACATGGCCTTTGTTCTGTACTGGAGAAGTGAACCATGCCAACATTCCCTTTGTGATCCTACCTGGATTAGGTGGCTGTCTTTTCCCATGACTCTAATCTCACCACATGGTAACACAAAGAGACTCCCTAAAGGATCACATGACTCAAGACACAATCTTCCTCCCCTCCACTGTAGAGAATCAATCCAATTCTGCTTGGTTATCTGGACCAATCACTCCACCTAATACCGTTCCTCCATTATTAGACTTTTAGATAAAAGGCATCAGAACTAGAAAGTGGCCAGGTATATGTCAGAATATTCAGTTCAGTGGAATGTTCGTTGTTCCTCCTGGCAGGAATAATACTTCCCCAACATCCATAACTTCTAAATCAGCAGAATTTAAGTCATGAGAATAGAATTCAAAAATCATCATTTAGATCACTAGGGGTGATAGTGAGTGGAACCCTGCCTTTCCACTATTAGCTTCTGGACCTGTGGTTCCTGGCTATGGGAGACGCCATACTATATATTGAACAATGATTTAAACACTTATCACCTTCTAGGGAATGTTGCCCGTGCCCTCTGAACTGTTGCCACATGATTGGCTCTGTAACTGTGTCTTCTAAAGGCTATTTAGTTTCTCTACCAGGCAAGCTGTTTCAGAATGGTGGGGAACATGATCAGTTCAATGGATTCATACTTCTCTGGCTCTGAAATGAGTTCCTTGATCAGAATCAATACTAAGTGAAATAACATCATAGTTGTTAAGACCTTTTGTAAGTCTACGGATGATAGTTTTTGGCAGGAGCAGTCTGCCCAGAAAGACCAAATCCATAATCAGAATAAGGACCTACTCCAGTGTGGGATTCTATTACTGTGAATACATACAGTGACCACAGCAACTCTTATAAAGGAGAATATTTAATTGGACATGGCTTGCAGTTCAGAGTCTATTTTCAGCATGTCGGAGAAGTAGGGCATCATTCAGGCAGACTGTCTTGGGAAGAAGCCAGAGAGTTCTACATCTTGATCTGAAGGCAGCAGAAAGTGAACAGAGACATCTTCACCCAACAATGCCACACCATCTGTAATAAGGCCACACTTCCTCATAGTGCCACGCACTATGAGACAAGCATTCAAACACAAGATTCTGTTGGGGACAACGACCAATTCCAATAAGAACAAACTATTCTCCTATTCAAGAAAAAAGTGGTCAAATGTGGTTAACATGCCAACAGCACACTGGCTAGTTACCTAAGAAAATGCTGAGCTATCTAGGGCTAAGTGTTGGTCTATGTTGCTAGCAGATCTGGCATTCAGTGGCAGATAGAGCCAAGTAAGCCTTGTGGACTGATGGTTCATGATATCAAACCTAAGCATAACCCTCATCCCTATCACCATGATTACTTTGTTCTTTGACCCTCTACATCCTGGTCTTATGCCAACTTGGCACACAGACAACTAAATTAAAAAAGGAAACCTTAATTGAAAATATGATTCCATAAGATTAGGATTTAAGAAATTTCTTAATTAGATTTGATGAAGGAGGGCCCACACCTCTGTTGGTGTTTCTTCCCTGGGCTGGTGGTTCTATCAGAAAGCAAACTGAGCAAGGCAGAGAAAGCAAGCCCATAAGCAGCACCTCTCCAGGACCTCTGATTCAGCTCCTGCCTCCAGGTTCTTTCCCTTTTGAGTTCTTCTCCTAAGTTTCTTCAGTGATGAACAGCCATCTGGAGGTCAAAAGCCAAATAAACCCATTTCTCCTCAACTTGCTTTTTGACTTAGTGTTTCACCACAAACATAGAAAACCATAAGTAATATAGGATGAAAACAGTGAAGCAGGGTTTTGCTGGGACAGGCCTGATATGTTTTGGGAATGATTATAGAAGAACTTTGGATCTTGGACTAGAAAAACCACTGCGTGTTGGGAACTCGGTGGGATGTTCTGCGGGCGCATGGCAGATAACAATGTTGAAAGCAATGCAGCTGATGGAGGCCTGGCTTGGGAAGTTTCAGAAAGAAATTTAAAGACTCAACAGGCACCCTTGGAGGAGCTAAATGACAGAAAAGGAAACAGAATTAATATGACGGCAGGGGAGGGAACTTTGAACTGATGGAGTCTGTGTAGACTGAGGGGAAATGGGTGCCCGTGACTGAGGTAGCTGACATTTCTGGGAAAGTTTGCATGGCTCCTGGTAAACAGAAATGTACCACAGGTGACCTTTCTCGTACATGGATCACCTGCATTAGGCCTCTTTTAATCAACCAAAATCCATCATGTTAGGAGCAGCACCTCCATATTTGGGAAAACAGCTTTGGATCTAATCCCAATCTGCAGAGTCTCTAACCACACTGTGACACAAAAAACCACAGGTCTGAAACTAAAGAGAAGGAGAGGTCCTTTCTTCTAGAGCCATTGTGTGTGAAAAGCAATCTGAGAACACAGATTTAGCTTAACCAATTTCCTGTGCCAACACAGAAGCAGTTTAACAAGAACTTTATAGCTTAGCCAAATGAAGCAAGTCACAAATCAAGGCAAGTTCAAAATACAGGAGGAGAACCTCAGAGAGGCAGGTGCATTAAGATGGGGAAAGATGCTATCTGCTGGCATTCTTAGGGTTTGAAGGATGTCTATAAGTGTTGTCACAAGGTTGAATTCTAACACAGAGGGAGGCAAACATTGCTGTTCCAGGGAGGCAAAACTTGAAGAGTCAGAGAAAAAGAATATAAGAATATAGATTCCAGAAATAAAAATGTAGAAATAAAGAAATATAAAGTTATTCTACTAGGAGAGTAAGAACAGATTGTCAGCAGCTTTCTCAGTAGACCAAGGATTAACTATTAACAGTGGGCTACTCTGCTTTACAACCCATAGCTCTATTTACAAGTCCAAAGCATCTCTCTGCAAACTGAGAACTAGCCTACGGATATGAGCTGAGTCAACTTTCAGGAAACAGATAAATGACCTCTGGGTTATGCATTATCCCTGCTATACTGGCAGCATCAAAGGGGAGAGCACAGGGCTTCAGTAAACACTGCCTGGAAGTACCAAGGAAGTCAACAATTTAAGCACAAATTAGTTTAACTAAAAAATTTTGTTAATGGAGATTGTAAAATAAGGCAATCAGTATCTGAGTTTTACCATGGGATTGTAAAAATTTCTTTGTTAAACCACAGGCTTAGTGCCCCTACTATAAAAAAGTGGGTTCAGAAAGTGGTCTTTGCAACAGTCTTACAAAATCCATCTCAGGCTGTGGTCTCTGCTAGCTGATAAGATTTTTGTGTCCCATGGAGATTTTTTTCTCTTTATCTTTTTTATTTTGGATTTTTTAGACAGGATTTCTCTATAGCTTTTGGTTCCTGTCCTGGAACTAGCTCTTCTAGACCAGGCTGACCACGAACTCACAGAGATCCGACTGCATCTGCGTCCCAAGTGCTGGGAATAAAGGCGTGCGCCAACACTGCCCAGCTCACATTAGCTTTTTATCTTTTCCTGTAATTTGGTTTCTGGAATAAAGTTTGCTTCTGGTTTTTAGACTTTGGTGGTCTGTCCCATCTTTACACGACCCCTCTGGACCCAAAACACTTAGCCCAGGTAAAGGTAATTAGCCTCTGGTCCTGCAGTGTTCCCATCTCTCTCCAGTACTGAAACTCAGTTCAGTCAACCAGGATCTTCAGACACTGAATCTTTTCAGGGATTTTCCTTCAAGCCAGACAAGGAAGCTTCCCCTCAGATGTCTGATGCCAAAAAGGGCACAGGGAGTGTCTATTTAGATTAGGCCCATTGCTACCAGACAGGACAGTTACACAGACGCAGGTTTGGTTTGTCAGTATTGAGGTGTTTATTAATGTGCGAGTTTCCCTAAAGAAGTCAGGGAGCGTGGTCACAGAGTTGCTTTCTTTTCAGAGTGACTTAGAAATACAGAACATATCCTAGAGAAGCTAAATAAGAAGGTGAACCAAAAGGAAAACATATATTAACCTTCATCAGGCGATGAAAGGAGACAGAGACAGAGACCCACATTGGAGCACCGGACAGAAATCTCATGGTCCAAATCAGGAGCAGGAGAGAGCACGAGCAAGGAACTCAGGACCGCGAGGGGTGCACCCACACACTGAGACAATGGGGATGTTCTATTGGGAACTCACCAAGGCCAGCTGGCCTGGATCTGAAAAAGCATGGGATAAAACCGGACTTGCTGAACATAGTGGACAATGAGGACTACTGAGAACTCAAGAACAATGGCAATGGGTTTTTGATCCTACTGCACGTACTGGCTTTGTGGGAGCCTAGGCAGTTTGGATGCTCACCTTACTAGACCTGGATAGAGGTGGGTGGTCCTTGGACTTCCCACAGGGCAGGGAACCCTGATTGCTCTTCAGGCTGACGAGGGAGGGGGACTTGACTGGGGGTGGGGGAGGGGGAGGGAAATGGTAGGCGGTGGCGGGGAAGAGACAGAAATCTTTAATAAATAAATAAATAAAGGGAAAAAAAGAAAAAAACAAAAAAAATTGTATGCTTTTAAGGCAGGGTTTCTTTCTTATAACCCAGTTGAAGTCAATACTATATAACTAAAAATGACCTTGAACTTTTGATCTTCTGGCCTCTGCCTGTCAAGAAGAAAAAGAAAGAAAGAAAGAAAGAAAGAAAGGATGACAGAACAAATGTTAGCTGCAGCCCTACCAGGTAAGAATTCTGGTGGGGATCTGCACACTCTCATTGCTCCTGAACACTCTGGATATCCAGTAAGCTTGTTTACAACACTTTTGGGCAATTTCCCATCAGGTGGCTCTGCTAGCAGAAACCTGAAATGCACTTTACTGGAAATCCTTCTGTCTGCCCATTTCCAGTCTGAGAACACAGCGCAGCTTGTAAGTGCCAGCATTTCCCAAGAAGAGGGAGGAGACCATGGTGGGAATAAATAGGCATCAGGGTGCACTGGACAGAGCTAAGCAGTAGGAAGGCAGCAACGACCAACATCAGAACTCAGTTGTCCCAGGAGCTGGCAGCATACATCAGCTCTCAGGTAATGCCAAGAATTCCTTGCCTTTGGTAACAGAGGAAGGACCTTCCCAGGACTGTGTAGTTCTGGTGATGACCTGGAGTCTTGATTTGGAGGAGGGGTAATGAATTGTTCCTTGGTCACTGAAGTGGAATCAGGGGACATTTCTGGGATGCACATAAATCTTCTCCCAGTCTGGGCCTTCATGTTTATGGAAGATGCAGGCACAATGAACATTGCTCCAGTAGACAGAATGGAGAATGCTCCTTTCCGCGCTCCATAGGCAGGGAGTACTGAGACCTTGTCTATCTTGCTTGGGGCTGAAGGAGCTAAAGAGAGACAGGAAAGTCCCCCTGGAGGAGTTGACTTTCCCACCATGCATACAGTTGATAGGAGATGTCTTAAGGTCAGGAACCTAGTTACCTGGTAGGTCCCATGGCCGAGCAGAGGTTCTTCAACCTCAACTAGGGAAGGGAAAAAGCAGTAGCTCAGCCACTGAGCCAGGCCTCCTGCTGCACACATGGAGCAGCCCCTTCCCTCTGGAAACAATTCTGACACAAAATAGTGTTCAGTGCTTCTCCAAAGAAATGCTTGCATCAGTAGGAAGTAAACATGGAGTAAAGGCAGCCAACTAACTGAGGTCCCTGGCTCCTCTGCAGGAGAGTAACAGCCCTGGGGACAAGCAGCTTAGCTCCAGCCTTCCCTCCTCTGCCCCCTCCAATTCCCTCTGTGCTCTTCTGGTCTTCCCTCCCCTCCACCTTCCATTTGGCTCCTCCTCCCTCCCTGGCTTTTCCTCCTACTATCTTGCTGCCCAACTTTCTTCCACTTTCTCACTCCTTGAATCCTCCAGCCCTCCTCTGTCGCCACCCTCCCCTTCTTCCTCTCCCTTCCATGTATTTTCCGTCCACTTTCCTTTCGATACTTGAGCAAAGGGACAGAGGTTAAAGGTGGGTAACTGTGTTTACCATGAGCAGAAGTCATCAACTGTAATTTTTTAGGATGCCTGTGGCACCCACTCTAGTGGTATATGAAAGCATAGTCCTCTAGACATTCTCTACAACAATCCCTTTCATACCCATAATAAGTCAGATCATTGTGAATAATCAAACCTGTGTCACTCACCACAATGCCCAGAGAAGTCCACACAGTTGCTTGCTACCACAAAGCCATCCCAAGAGCAAAAACCAAATCTGGTCCAGGTGTCATCTTTCTTCCCACCAGCAGGCCTTTCAAGCCTGAGGTGCAAACCACCCTGTTTTTCCAGGCAGCACTAACAGAACCTTCCTTATTTGTCCTTTTCCCTCCTGTTCCCAAGGGTGCCAAGGCTGTGTCACCAAACCAGATGTCTTCAGAACTGCATCTCAATTTTTCATCCCCAGGCACAGCTTCATGTACCAGATTCAGTAAAGGGCCTTGGGTGTTCCCAGACTCACCAAGAGGATCTGTTAAGTCCTCTGCCAACTACTGCTGAAAGGGCCCTAAGTGTAGTGTGGGAGAGTGCAAAAAACGAGGGTTCCCATCTAATGCATTTTTCTGCAGAGAGATAATGAGAGAAGGCATTCTGATCAGACAGGGCTCAGCCCACCCCACACCCTGCTGCACTTCTGGCTTGCTCTGTGACCGGGGATGTCCATGCCCCACTCTGGATCTGGGTTCTCTGTAGGGTGATTCCCTGCTGCAGCCGCACTTCCTCCAGTGCTGATAACAGGGAGCACATGACAAGGTGCTGGCATCTGCAGGGCCAGAGCACCTCCATTGTACCTTCAAGGATGCAGGAAGGACTGCAGAGCAGGAACACAATGCAGCCCTGTGGGAGAACACAGAGATGCCCACAGCACCATCTGACCCTCACAAAATCAAAAGATCTTTCTTTTCAGCCAGGAGAACAGAGAAGATGATGGTCCTACTTGTAGCTCTGGGGTTCTTGATGGCAGGGATCTGCCCTGATGTTAGCTGCCAACAGGATGGCACACCAGGAAGTAATACTGAACTTCAGGAAGGCCAAATAAATGGGACACAAGTGGACAGTCTAGCACTGGCCTCAACCAACACTGACTTTGCCTTCAGCCTCTACAAGGAGCTGGCTTTGAAGAACCCAGATGAAAACATCGTCTTCTCCCCACTCAGCATCTCAGCTGCCTTGGCCGTCCTGTCCCTGGGAGCAAGCAACAACACCCTGCAAGAGATTCTAGAAGGTCTCAAGTTCAATCTCACAGAGACCCCTGAGGCAGACATCCACCGGGGCTTTGGGCATCTCTTCCTCACGCTCAGCCAACCAGGGAACCAGGTGCAGATCAGCACAGGAAATGCCATGTTTATTGAAAAGCACCAACAGATCCTGGCAGAATTCAAGGAGAAGGCAAGGGCGCTGTACCAGGTTGAGGCCTCAAGTGTCGACTTCCAGCAGGCTCACGAGGCCAAAAAGCTCATCAATGACTATGTGAGGAATCAGACCCAGGAGAAGATTAAAGAACTGATCTCAGACCTGGATAAGGACACAGTAATGGTGTTGGTGAACTACTTCTACTTTAAGGGTGAGGATGGGCACTGGGTGACTTAGGGAGTGAAAAGATATTGACTGGGAACTTTGTATCCATACACTGATTCCTTAAAAGGAGAAACTCACAACCTGGAGATATGGGTGACTCACGTCTCTCTACCCACAGCCCCTACTTCTCCCCTAGGCATTTTTGGATATAGTTGTGGTTCCTGGCACATGCTCATCAGAAGACCTGAGGTCTTCAGTCTAAGAGTGTTGAATTTGACTGTGACTTAAACTTACTCACTAGCAGAATGCATAGCTCACTAGTCCAGTCCTTCCTGAGTGTGCAGAAGCTGTGATTTCTTCTGCAGAAACTGGGTCCCTCATTCTTCCCACTCCAGCATCTCTAATATGCTCCTGTAGAAGGAGTCCATCCCTGCTGGAGGGTCTGTTCCTAGGAGGGTTCCAGTGTGCTGGGGACTCTGTGACCTAAGGAGTGTGCCTGCCCACACTTAAGAGGGAAAGTAGCCTGGCCCATAAGCGCTGAAGAGCCCTGCAGACCTTTTCCATGCTGGACCTCTCCCTTGAGACATTAGTGGAATGTGCCGGACCTCGGCTGGGAAAGCAGGGATGCAGGAGACTAATAAGAGGGCAGTGTCAGCCAAGACATGTTTAGTGCATGGGTGCTTCGGGAATTCTGCTTCTGTAAACTAACTAGCCCAACAGCCTGAAGGTCAGAATCCCCAAGACACATGTCAGGGCCAACGAGTCTGAAGAGAATGGGTGCAAGGGAGTTGGGAGACACAGCTGGAGATATAATGGCTAAGGATAGTGAGGGGCCATCCAGAGCCTACACCCACAACACCCTGCCTGATAGAGACCAGGGCCCAAGGTGACAGCCCAGAACTGGTGCCTGACAGAAGTCCTGATCTAATCAGATAGGGGTGGATCTGGGTTAGATGACAGATAGTCCGGGGCAGGCTGTGAGACCATGGGCAGAAAATTAAGGCGGCCATGGACAGAATCAGGGACTAGGAGGACAGAAGACATGAGGACAAGTTGGTTGCAGAGCTGCTGTGAGCTGCGAATGGTGGAAACAGAGTGATGGCCTGAAGGATGGCTGGGTTGTCTCTCTAAGCCCAGGACCCTAGAAGTAAGACTGCTTGTCTGCGAGTTGGGGATGCTTGTTTAGGCTACTAGATCCCAGCCCAAGAGGTTGTTTCAGTACCAAGTCCTTTAGGGTGAGTTTGTAATGGGAACATAAACTAAGAATTCAAGGTAAGTCAAGACAGGATATTGTAGAGGTGGCCACAGCCCCTGTGTGAGCCATGGACATATTACTCACATTTAGCCCACAATCTGTGAATTTGGGGATTGCTCATGTTGTAGGAGATTTCAGTCTGTTTTGTCCTGTTTTTTCTAAAACCTGTTCCAAAAGCCATTGCCTTTAGACATGGTTTCTCCTGAGGAAGAAGGGGTCCCCAACTCTCCCCACAATGCAATGGCACCACTTTCATCTCATGTCTCTGCTACACTCCCCATGCCCAGAACCCTATCAGTTGCTCAGGAACTCAAGTAGACAGGTTTTGGTTTTGAATTTCCCCTTTCCAAACTAAGCTTGGAGTCTCTTCTCACCTCTGGGAGCTTGTCTACCTACAAGGGTATTTTTCCAATCCAGCATCCCCCACCCTGGATTGGTGAAGATGGGTTGATTACTGTCACAACTTAGAAGCTGAGCAGAAATAGGATAGAGTTGGAGTCTCTCAGGTGACATTACTGATGACCCCTTTCATCTTTAGGTCAATGGGAGATGCCCTTTCCACTGGGAGATACTTTAAAGTCCATGTTCCACTTGAACAATACGAAGTCTGTGGAGGTGCCCGTGATGAATATTGAGGAGCTGATCACACCCTACTTCCGGGATGAGGAGCTGTCCTGCACCTTGGTGGAGCTGAAGTACAGAGGCAATGCCAGCGCCCTGTTCATCCTCCCTGATGAAGGCAGGATGCAGCAGGTGGAAGCCAACCTGAAACCAGAGACCCTGAGGAAGTGGAGGGACTCTCTGAGTTCCAGGTGTGTGTCTGCAGGACCCAGATCTTGTATGCCTCCCCAGCCTAGTCTCTGCCCAGTGTCCCTGTACCTCAGAATCTCACTAGCACCTGTATAATGGTTGGAGAGTCGGCAGGGGCAGGAGGAGTGCAGGTGAGTTTCCCTCTGCAGACTAGGGAGCTGAGGGAATTTTACTGTGGTTTTTGTTGTTCACAAGATGACATCACCCGGAGCAGGAGCTGAGGATTCCTCTGTGTCCACTAGGCTGTAGTTACAAACAAACTCGAATGGGTTTTAGAAGGCAGAGGGAGTGAGGTGTGATGACATCAGCTCTGAGAATCAGCTCTGCCCTGTGCACCATCTCATCCCATCTCATTACTCATTCATTACCTGTGGTGCAATGATGACTTCAAGACCTACTGTGTGACCTGTTCTGATTTAGATCCATAGAATATATCAGAGATTAAAGCACAAAATTTCTTATCAATGTGGGCTCATCTTGCAATTGAGGAAGAGAGGGGGAGAGCTAGGGTAGATGGGTGTTCAGTTGTAAATAGGTGAACCATTAGATGAGGTCTGTGGGTCCACACGACAAGGGAAGGACTGCATTTTGTGGATCAGGGAGGAAAGCATTTTTGGAAAGAAAACAGCTGGTACCATGCCTTGCTGTCTTGCTTTAGGAAATCCTAGAGCCAGTAACCCTTAAGTTATCTGCCCACTGGGGCGTGGCCTCTTATACTATTTATACCAATGTAAAGTGTGCATCTGGCTTCTTTTTCGGCTGCGGGATTCAGCTGGTGTTCTCCACTCCAGCAGAGGATATTGATATGTGAGTCTTCCTCTAAATATTTAATCATCTATTATTCTCAGTGCTGAGCAAGTGTGGGATTTTTTAAGCACCCTTCACTACCTTTCCAGCATCATTGGAAAATTAATGCAACAGGAAAAACAAAATTATGTCATGTAGGCACGAATGGACAGAGAGCTTTTGCTGCTGAGAGGACAGTGCATACATGTGGCCTGGCTAGAGTGTGGTTTGAGGGGGAACATTTCTCTTTCCATTCTCAGCATTATCGAGCTCTCCCTGCCCAAATTCTCGATCTCTACTGACTACAAGTTGGAGGGCATCCTTCCACAGCTGGGCATCAGGGAAGTCTTCTCCACACACGCTGACCTGTCTGGGATCACAGGGACTAAGGACCTGAGTGTCTCTCAGGTAAGGCAAAAACACACTGGGTGGTTCCCCTTGGTGCCTGAATGTGAATGATGAAGGCCAAGTGTGTGGAAAACGGCAAATGTGTGAGAACATCTACATTTCTAAGATTCCCTCATCCTGGGAGGTCAGATTGCAGCCTAGCTACATATATTATGCTGGATGCCAAGTAGCCAATCCCTGCTCAGCCCCCTGAACAAATCTCACCCAGAATCATTGTTGGGAAGGAGCCTGTGCTTGGTCTTAGACCATCACTTGCACCAACCAGTGCTGTTGCACAGATGCCACCCACAATCCACTGCAGGACAAACCACTTCCAGTCTCAGCTTCTTCACTGCACAGCTGGCCCAGAACTTCCTGATTAGCACACAGAACCATATCAGTAAAGGAAATACCAAGGACTGGAAGGCAGTTGTGATAAGAAAAAGAAAAACTACCTTAAGAAAAGGTGAGATGATGACTTAGGTCTTCACACTATATTCCCAGATGCACATCCTAGCAATGCCTAGTTTTCTCTCCAGTGCCCACTCAGATTCCTGGGCTCTGATCTGAAGTATGGCAGTCTGGGAAAGAGAATCCAGGCTATGATTACTACTGCTGTGTGTCCCAAACACTCTGGAGCAGGAGGGATGCTGAATCCTGCACTGGCTAACAGCACACCAGATTTTCTCGGTGGGTCTCCTGGGATGTTGCCTGTGGAGTAAGAATACCCAGTGCCTATACCCACCCTGCAGTGATTACTGGGATTCAGGGCTGCAGAGATTCTCAGAGATCCAGGACGTGTGTCATCTCCCACCCTGAGCAGAGACTTGGAAACACAGGGGTAGAGCTCATGGCAGGAACAAACAAGTTCACCAATGTCTGAGGCCAGCAGTCCATGCTTACTCCAGGAATCTCCTCTGCTGTCCTCCATGGTGTCCAGTGAGTGATGTCTTTCTCCTACAGGTGGTCCACAAGGCTGTGCTGGATGTGGCTGAGACAGGAACAGAAGCAGCGGCTGCTACAGAAGTGGTGATAAAAAAGAAAATGTTTCCAATTATGAATCCTTTGAAAGTGAATTTCAACAGGCCATTCCTGATGATTATCTCTGATAGAAATACCCAGAGTTCACTTTTTTTGGCCAAAGTCACAAATCCCAAGGAAAACTAGAACTTCCTAAGTGGTGAGGCTTCCTCCTGGGAGCCAGGAATTGAACCTGTATGTGGGTCTCTATGTGCATTTTGGCCTCCATGCTCTGATTGGCTGTACGTGTCTGATTGGACAGTGGCAGTGACTAACATGCACAGGACCTGTGGACAGACAGTGTCAGACTCCCCATAATCTTGGCTGCACTATATCATATTTCTTAGACTGAACTCTGACTTTGTGGCTCCTCCCTGCTGCCTCTCCTGTATGAGCCTCTACACAAAGCCTGGGCCCTGGCAGGAAGGCTCAGCCCCTACCTGAGCTATGGTTATATCTGCTTTAAGCTTCCACAGGCTTCATGGGATGATTCAAGCTATAGACTCATTCTGTGGACCTCAAGCTCAGGACTGAGAAGGGAACCTGCTGCCTTCTCTGTGTTTCCAGCATCTGAAACCAGTGTGTACCCAGTTCCTGCCTCAAACTTTTCCTCACCCAGGCTCTGACACCCAGTGTCCCTTCAAGAGCTCCTGGGCCTGCCCACATCTGACACTGTCGTAGAGAAGCTATTTCTGCTTCTACATGAAGTCGATTGGTCAGCTCAGCTCCTTTCCCCTACTCTACCTACTTGGGGCAGAAGAGCCTTTTCCTAGGTTATCCACTGGCCAACATCAAACAATGGATGCCACCCTTTCCTTACCCAAAATGGAGGACTTTCACAAAATGCAATAAATGTATAACTGCACATAAGTGACCAGGCTGTGTTCACTCAGCTTCAATTGGCAGAGGTGTGGCTCTAGTGACAACAGAGTAGTAGATATTGTCACTTACAGTCTCTGACTTTGGTGATGAACGTCTAACCTACATGTTATTATCAGTTGTTTTTTTTTTATGGATGAGAAAACTGAGAAACAGAGAAGCTTAATCATCTTCCCATGACGTCACAGATAAACATAGTGCATTTGGGGATGTTATTCCAAGAGTCCTGATGCCACAGGAACAGTCTTCCCAAAAGCCGGTGTATGGTGTCCACAGTTTCACCATGGTGCTAGGCAGGTGGATCATAAAACAAGGCTCTGGATGCATCACAGAGAGCACACAAATGAGTCTATGGATCAGGTGACCTCTGTCCTGGGGTCAAAAGAGGATAAGCAGGTGGTCAGATGACCAGAAAAAAAGATTTTGCAGGGCATAGAGCAATGTGGGCATTTCTAAGAATTCTGGGTGTTTAGCAAAAGAAAAAACAGTCAACAGATGGCAAAGAGCCTGGCCCTGAGAGATCTTTAAACGGCTCAGAACAAGAGGGAGCTCTGGAGGGGTGAATCACTGTTCCTGTTTGGGAGCATCTTAACTGTTCGTGGCTATAGGACAGAAAACTGTTCTGGGAAGATGTAGCCATTGTCACTCAGGAGAGTTATAAGGAACACCAGGCCACATCTGGAGAGGAGAGTGGGTGATGCAGCTCAAGGATTAGCTGTTTTTGTGCCTAGATAAAGGACAGGAGGAGAGCAAGGTTCATTAAGTTGGGGTGCTTAGTGTACATGGAGAATCTGTGATTCCTGAAACACTGCTGGAGGTCTGAACAGAGAGGGAAAGTTGGACTTTCAATTTGAAACATACACAAGTCTCAACCTCCTAAAAACAGACATTGAGCAGGTAGACATGTAGTTACAGAAAATTACAGCCTGGGGTCGCACACAGAATTCCTTTCCCAATTTAGAACCAAGGTATCAAACCATGAGAATCATGGAGTAATAAGAAGGGACCCAGGTATTGACATCAGTCAGGTCGCAACAATTCCAATAGGTCCAACAGTCATTCTGGTCCCTGAGGTGGCTTCCTCATGTACTTTATGGGCACTGTCATGGGTCAGCTACATCCCTCCATCTCCCCTGGCTTCAGCCCTGGTATCTAAGGAGCCTGGTGCTGAGTACATCTAATTTTGCCTGTTAGCTGGGATCTAATACTGGTGGAGAAGTCTGAGTCTCTGATACAGATAGGAGGGTTTCACTTTTGCCCGTTCTATGAGGGTTCCCCCAGAACTTGACAAAGAAAAGATGAACCCCTGCAGGAACAGCCTGTGCAATAGAGATAGCAGACTGTGGATGGGGGAGGGAGCATGTTTACAGCAGTGATCTTAGACACCCATGCTACAAACTAAGGCCAGGACAATGTGTTAAAAGTGACCCACCCAACGCAAGGGTCTCCAAAGGGCCTGCACTGTGAACTGCCTGATTTGCAGATCACAGCCCAACCACAGAGCCTTCAGAGAGGATGCTGAGCTGCCATCCAGCTGGTGCCTCCATGTGTTTTCTGTTACTGAGGACCACTGAGCAGACAGTATATAGAGCGGGTGTCAGTTAGCCTTTTATCGCTGGGGCAACACATCTGAGGAAACCCACTGAGGGAAGCAAAGGTTTGGATTCAATCACAGCTTCAGAGACTTCTGGCCAGGGCCTGCTGGCCTCTTTACTTTGAGCCTGAGGCAAGTCAAGCTGTGTGCATCAAAGACACTATCAAGAGGATGAGGGCTGGAGCTGGAGAGATGGCTCAGTGGTTAATAGCACTGGCTGCTCTTCCAGAAGTCCTGAATTCAATTCCCAGCAACCATGTGGTGGCTCACAACCATCTGTAATGAGATCTGGTGCCCTCTGGTGTGTGGGCATACATGGAGGCAGAATGTTGTATATATAATAAATAAATAAATCTTTAAAAAAAATAAAATAAAATAAAATAAAAAGAAGATGAGGGCTTAGGACATTATCCAACCAGTGAGATCACTTGGCTTGGCTCAGCATTAACTGGTCTCTGATGGGGGGATCCTGCAGTGTTGGCAGTCAACAATGGTGCTCAGCTCAGCAGATGCTGGTAAGGATGGAACAGGGCCTGAGTCATGAAGGACAGAGGAACAATGGTGGCCATCATTGTGTATGTGGGGACAAAGGAAGGGCAATAAGTGGGCTTCTGCCTAAGGAAGAATCCATGGTCAGACACTGCTTGGTGCTAAAATGATCCACATGAGACAGTTGTTGACAACAATGCTATTAGTGGTTTAAGTTCTTTTATTAATGGTCCCAGCAAGAGCGGGCTTATGCCTGTGAAAATCTGTAAGAGCCCAAGCTCAAAAGCATAGCATGTTGGAAGGTAACAACCACAATGAACATAATTTACACTCATGCTAGATGCAGGTCAGAGTAATCTGAAGTGTTCCTCCCTGGCAGAACAGAGTATTTATCTCAATCATAGCATAACAGTTAATGTAGGTCTATAACATCTTTATGTGTTTTGGTTTCCCTTACTTATTCTGGTTGAATCATTTGCACCATGACAAATCCATGGAAATCTCAAATACATGTGAAGACAGTCATGGGTGCAGGTGGACACAGGAGGCTGAGAACTGTGTGAACAAACACAAGATGGAGGCAGAGCACGAAGGATTTACCTTAGTCATTTCAGGGTAAGCCTGCATGCTGTCTTCTGACCTGTCTGCCCTTGCTTTCTTCCTTGGTTCTGAGGACAAAGAGGGAGACTGGTCTTTCCCCAAATCTACTAATACAGAATAAATTGTCCCCAAATGCACAGCTTGAAACATAAATATGAAATATCCCATGAAGAGTCAGCGTGGGTGGTTCTTCCTCTAGGCACTCATGAGTCACACTGTTGGATGAAGATTGGCACATGCTCAAGATTCCACATCCAGGTTCACTCTCATGACCAGTTTCTTTGTTCCCTTGATGCTATAAACTTGGTACAATAAAGCCCAGCATCATGTGCTTGCTGGGAAAGCCCCCTACCACTGAGCAGTGGTAATCCCCAGGTCTCTCATGACTTTTGATGGGAAATCTCTTCAGACCTACTCAAAGGGCGGCTTACTTAACTTCTGTGATGAAGTGAAGAGAGATAGAGAGAGACAGAAAAGAGGAGGAGCAAAAGAGGAAGAAGGAGAAGGAAGCAGGAGAAAAGACAGAGGAAGAAAAGGGAGAGGGAAGGAAAGAGATCAGGTGGAAAGGATGTGGGGAACCTGGGAAAGGACTGCCACAGCTGAGGCTATACACACATGTAATCCCAGCACTGGAGTGGCTGAGGCAAGGAGTATGAGGACAGCCTGGGTACGTTAGCTGATGTCCTTGTTGGTGAGACCCAGTACCCAACCGAAGCAACTTGAGGTAGAGTGGTTTATTGGGTTCTTGATTTCTTGTCAGGACAGGCATTGTGGAAAGATAGGTTGTGATCTGTGGTGACAGTTATATGTCAGCATGTTTCATCTGAAGGAACAGGAAACAGATATCTTGATCAGAAATCAGTCAGTGAAATACCTCTAGCTGACTTATGTACTCAAAGTTAGCCTAGTCTCCCAAAGCAGCTTCACCAACAGGAGGACAAGGATTCAATCTCCTGAGCCTCTTAAGTGGGGAGGAGGGAAAGGTGCACCTGTCTTTTCATAGCTCACGTCTGTGTCACCCTCCCTGTGTGCTGCACACACTCTGTCCAGAGACGACAGTGATAACCGATGCTCTCACTGAAAATTGAGGAAAGCATGAAGTGTATACTTGTCTCATCGTTGACAACCTCATGATTATGAAGAGTTGAAATGTTCCTTGCCAGAGCTAAATTACCTGGAACTATTACATATCCATTTATCATTGAACGTATTCAGTGAATGGACGATTAAGTTTCATATGTCATGGTTTCTAGAGTAACCAAAGTTATATAAGGAATCTATATGTAAAGAAAGGGTTTTGTTTTGCAATATCTTAAATGCTGAGGTCCAATTAGTCAAACAATGGTTGTCTGCCAATAGAAGGTCCAAAACTCCAGTAATCTTTCAGCCTACAGGCCTAGATGTCTCACCTGGTCATCAGTATGTGCTGGAATCTTGAAGAAGTACACTCTGATGCCACTTAAGGGATGGACTTGATAGTGGGTGTGAGAAGAAGAAGGGAAAGGAAGCAAGAATTCTTCTGCCATGTCCTTTATATAGACTGTCAGCAGTCCATATAAATAGAGATGAATATAATATAGATTAAGGGTGTTCCTCTACTATACATTCAGTATTTCCTGCACACTCAGCGAGCATCTCCCTGGTTTTTGCTCTTCCCTGGGGAAGTGACCCAGGCCTTCAGTCCTTTATCTTCTTGTCTGGGTTGGATCCTTGAAGTTTCTTATGCTAAGAACAATATAGAGGATGGCAGACCGGCATGTGATGTTTGTATGGTAACTTTAAAGACTCTCTGAGTAGCCATAGAAATGCTACGACCTGTAGTTCAAAGCTGAAAGTAGAGGAACTGAGGGCTCCTGGCTCTAATGAATTTTTGGAGGAGGTTTGGACTTTGGCAAGAGGCACAGAGGGAAAAGAAAGAACTGAGTCCAACATAGAACAGGTCTGAACATAGAAGTTCTCAGAACTGATCATTGGCAGAATATGTCTAGATCAGTAAGAATCTGGTATTGAATATGTCATCTCCTGGTCACTGAGAACATTAGACTTAAATCACACTCAGGACATATTACAATAAAGTGTAAGGTGATAGGGCTTAAACAGATCTGTGAGTGGGAGGAGGAAAAGAGACTTAAGAAAGGAAACAAGTTGAGGAGTCAAGTTTGGTATGGAAAAGGCCCTTGAATGATCAAGTGACAGAGACAGAGAAAGCAGGAAGAAAGGCAGCCTTGAAAAGGCAGCTGTGGAGAACTTCAGAGTGAGGAGGAAGTGGGAGAGGCTTAGAGAAGAGCCTGAAAGTA